GGGGGAAAATCTCTCCCAGAAAGGAGAAGAGTTTGGGGAAGTCACTGATTTGAAAACAGGCCTCAGCTGAAGCATTTTGGAAGCAGACAAGAACAGTAAATACATTTCCTATTCCCAAAAGGGTATAAATGGGCTTTATGCCCCACAGTTCCAAAAGCATCAGGGAAAAGAAGGAAGTTTCCTCTAGTTTCATGTCACACCACTTAGGCTAGTGTTTCCCAATCATAGCAGCTTGAAGTTATGTGAGCCAATTTTCCAGGCAGCAAACTGCTCTAGGTGTGGAGGGCAGAGTTGCTCCTTCTATCCCTTTGTATCATGGGACAGCAGTATTATTGCAGAGGCCCCAACTTCTTTTGAGTCCATGGGCATACATGAAATTTAAAAAGCATGTTAGCAGCACAAAATGATGGCTGCATTTCCCTGCTTGAGCACAATAACCCCAGTTTCCAGAAGGCAAATTGCTGAAGTTATTTCTCCCAGCCCATTCTGTCATTCCAGGATGTTCTTCATACATCAGTCTCTTTTCTGCACAGTGGGACCAACTTTGAAACAATGAAGCCCACCATTGTTTTGATTTTCTAAGAATGCTTCTGAGAACTATATGGAGTTCAAAGGTACTCTATGGAATAAACACTGTTTATTTGAAATATTTTAACTTCCCATCTGCTCTACTGAGTGGCAATACTGACTGACCTAGGCAAATTTAGAAAAGGCTAAGCAGTGGCTCAGTGGCTAAGATGCTGAACTTGTCGATCAGAAGGTTGGAGATTTAGCGGATCGAATTCCTAATGCCACGTAACAGAGTGAGTTCCTATTACTTGTCCCAGCTTCTGCCAACCTAACAGTTCAAAAGCATGTAAAAATGCAAATAGACAAATAGGGACCACTTTGGCGGGAAGGTAACAGCGTTCCATGCGTCTTTGGTGTTTAGTCATGCCGGCCACATGACCATGGAGAAGTCTTCGGACAGCGCTGGCTCATTGGCTTAGAAACGAAGATGAGCACCACTCCTAGAGCCAGAAACGACTAGCATACATGTGCAGGGGAACCTTTACCTTTACCTTTACCTAAGCAGGGTTCATATGGTTGGTATTTGGAAGGAAGGAAATATCAGAAGTGTACACCTGACCAAAAAATTGGACAAACATCCTGGATGAAGACTATTACAAATTCCTCACGTAGTATTTGCCAAGAAAATTGTGTGATGTTGTCCATAAAGTCATTAGAGTTTAGACGACTCAAAATTAAAAAGAAGCAGCTGCTCTTAAAAAGAAGCAGGAACACTATGCCTCTCATTACACAGCTCTTAACAGGTTTCAAATATCCTAAATTTAAACAATTGCCACTGGGAATTCTTTAACCTGAAAGCTGTAATCTACATCAAATATAAAGTAGTGAATTTTCTTGTTGAGCGTGTCATTCAGCCAATGGGTCCTTTTTGTTCTAAAGCTTATACAGTAGTTGCCTTTGAATTTGGAAATGCTTACTATTCTGTTTGTTTGCTGTTGTTATTTTTAATTGTGCTTGCATACCCTGTACTTTCATGGATATTTTTGTTCTTAGAGTTAGCCCAGCAAGCTTGGAAGTATATTAAGGATATTCATCTCAATGATAGTGATTACACTTCAACTGAGTAGTAAAGTATAATTATAAATAGGGTGTAAAAGTCAACAGAGATCCAGTATGGAATAGTAGTTAAAATCAGTTTGGGAGAGACCCTCTCTCTCTTAGTCCTGGAAACCATTTCTGAATGTTTCCAGGAAAAATGCAAGGATTAAAGTAGGTCTAAAAATAAGCAGGAATAGTAGCAAGAGTAAGAAGAAGATGCTACACTGAATATACAAACCAGCTGTCATTTTACTAAACTAAAAGAGTGACCTGGATAACTTTGTTTTACTGGATCTTCAAAAGCGATCTGTTAAAGTTATGAAAAGTTTTGTAAGAAAGGGTGAAGAAAAAGATGAAAAGAAATCATATTACAAGACTTAGAGGGGATTAAAGTTCAACACATTTTTAGGTTAAAAATAAGAGAAATATAAAAAGAACAGGATTGTTAAAAGTAAAAGGAGGAAATATAAAGTTGGTTTATTTGGTTTTTTTTAATATAATTTTTTATTGTACATTTTTCTTTATAATACATCACATTTCCAGTGTTGCAATCGCAGTGTACTGGCTATATCCAGTCCTTTTTGAGTATATAGTTTAATACACCCTGATTATAACCAATATTCTCTTAATCATACATTTATACTCTCTTTTAAATACATAATATTGTACATCATAGTTGTAAGCATTATTTTCATAATTGTACCATAACATTCTATGTATTAAGCTCTCTCCTTTCCCCTTTCTACTTTCTTCTCCTCCCTTTTCCTCTTCTCCTCTCCCCTCTTCTCTCTCTTCTTCTCCACTTCCCTCTCCTTCCCTCTTTCCTACCAAAGTTGGTTTATTTAATCAAGGTTAAAATAGATATATTGTTATATCTGGTAATTCTTAATTGACTTTTGATGACCAGGACAGAACAACAAGGCTTTAAATATTTGTTTATAGATTTTAGGCCTGGGAAAGAGGGATCATTTGTTGTAGAATTTTAAGAGAAAGCGATGTTACTAACATTATTTATACCTGTTATAAAGAAAGAAGTCTTTTTTTTCCTTTTTTCTTTTCTGCTCTAGTTTGTTTTGTATTTTTTGTTTAGTTTGTATTAGTTCTTGCAATGCTCAATAAAATTTCTCCTTCCCCCTCCCTCTGAATATATACACATATACACACAAAGAAAACTGCAAAGACTAGCTCAGCAATCCCCAGAAGTCAAGATTGACTTGGAGACACATACCGTACATACATACATACATGTATACATGCATACATGCATATATGCATACCACAAAGCTGCTTTAATAGAATTCCTAGACATGATAAGAGACTTACAGGTCTCCTATTCTTTTTGCCAGGGTTAGGCAAGTAGACAAGAATTTCAAGTTGGGTAAGTTTTCACATTGTAACATTCATAAGTACCAATACAGTTTTAAGCAGAAAAAGGATCAGGAAGACTCTTTAGAGGGAGACTAGTAGCATGGGTTACTAGCTACTTTTATTGGAGAGGGTCAATGCTGGTTATTCTGTTTGCTAACTATCAGATTCCCACAGACAACCCCCTGTTCTCACTACCAAATATTGCATAGTGCTAAATACTATTCCTGGGTTCCTTTTGTCTTCTGTGATATTTTGAAAATGTAGTTGAACTCTTTTTCTGATTGGTTATTACCCTCCACTTATTAATGACTGTCAAGTTTCTTTTGTTAGTGTCACCTCAGTGCATATTTGAAATGCCAAATTTTTGAGGATTAAATTACAAGGGATATCCTGTTTTAGGATTGTACTTTGTCCCAATATATCTCACATTAAGCAGTGTACGGGCTATTTCATCAAGAATTTGCTCATACCAAAAGCACCATCTTCTGCTCTCTCCTACTTTCTTTCAAGAAAATGGGTAACTGGTAATTTCAGCATGTGTACTAATAACCCAGTATGATTGGAATTGTTTTTAATCTAATCAGAATATGGAATCAGGTAATCTCGAGGGGGTATTCTACCACATTCTCTTTAAGTAGCATTTCTGATTACAACTCATGCAGCAGACAAGTCAAAGATGGAGGAATGTACCCCATGATACAGTGTAGGAAACGAAAGTAGAGGAGAATTAGCTCACCACAGATTTTGCAGAAGAATTGAAATGATACTGTCCACATCATGGATAGATGTGATTTTTCTAGAGGTGCTTGGGCTACTGGCACTTATCAACTGCTGACATTTTACTTCCTAGACTCTCAATTTCACCAGTGACATTCCTCATCTCTGTGGAGTTTATGCAGGTAGTCCTTAACTTACCACTGTTGCTTAAGGACCATTTGAAGTTATGACAGACTCATTAAAAGTTATTTACAACCAGTCTTCAGAGTTTCAACTGCTGCACCACTCCTGTGGTCACATGATTGCATTTTAGATGCTTGTGGCAACCAGCTCATATTTACAACTGGTTGCAATCTCTTTCAATCTGTAAGCACACAGAGGTTGAAAGGGGCTTTCACAAATGTTCAGAATCCTCATATGGAATTCATGTCCCACTCCCATCACGTCAGTGGGTGACAGTGGTAGATGAACTGTATTTGGAGCAGGAATGTCCACGTATATGTGCGTGAGACATGTGCCTCATAATATCATTGTGCAAATTATTTGTTAACACAACAATATAATATAAGAGACGTATCTCTTAAGAGTTGCCTTATTGGTGAGATTGGCAGCATATAAATTTAATATAAACAAACAAACAAACAAACAAACAAATAAATTGTACAGGTAGTCCCTTATAACAGTTCATTTAGTGATGTTCGAAGTTACAATGACACTGAAAAAAGTGACTTGTGAACTTTTTTTACACTTATGGCAATTGCTTCATCCTCATGGTCTTATGATCAAAATTCGGATGCTTGGCAACTGACTAAATTATGACAGTTGCGGTGTCCCAGGCTCATGTGATGACCTATTGCAACTCTGTGACTAGAAGGTGGTTTTATGTTTTATGCTTGTTTGTGTTTGTTTGTCTAAAAACAAACAATTGTTTGTTTGGCTCAGTGGGTCTAAAAATAAAAAAGTTTCTTTAAAAAACAACAACTGTGTTGTTAACTCAACAATTGCAGTGATTCACTTAACAACTATGGCAAGAATGGGACAAAACTCACTTAGCAACTGTCTCACTTAACAACATAAATTTTATGCTCAATTGTGGTTGTAAGTCAAGGACTACCTGTACTGAATGCTGAAGATCTAGTGATCCATGGAGTCTCCACTCTTGTATTAAAACATTGCAGAACTGGGTACTGGGGAAGATTTAAAGGTAAGATTAGAGGCTTGGCTCAGTGGGTTGCAGATGAGAATTCTCCAGTATTGCTAAAGGGGTTGTTGATAATAATCCCATGTGGTCTTCTTTCTCACAACAGAGTCTGAAACCCCATCATGTCACATCCACAATACCTTCCTCCCTTGGAACGCGTAGCAATATGCGGGGGCACTCATGGGAATGAAATGTCAGGTGTTTATCTAGTCAAGCACTGGCTACGGGATCCATCTGAGTTGCAACGCAGCACCTTTCGGGTCACACCTTTTGTGGGAAACCCACGTGCAGTCGAGCAGTGTGTCCGCTACACTGGGAGGGATCTTAATCGTACGTTCGCTGCAGCTTTTCTAGAGTAAGTATTATGCTTTGCCCCAATTTCTAGAGGTTTTGTAGGGAACACAAAGACCACCCTTCACAGGAACTATTGGGGAAGGCAACATACTGAAGCTCACATTTCTTTGTGTCAAATCTGAAGATGCTTACATGTCTAAGATTTCACTTAAGGTTTGTTCCCATAAGACTTTAAACTCACCTTACTCAGTATCAGGCCCTTCAAAACTGCTAGCATATCTCCATCTCCAACCAATTCCAACCAAAGTGGCTTTATCCATGCTGGCTAGAACAGTAGAAGTTGGAGCCCAATATATCTGCACAGTACCAGATTAGAAGAAGCCTCTGCTCCCTATCAGAACTACCAGACTACCATTGTTTTGAACATCTCTTTCTCAGTACCAAGGCTTCAGATTCAGACCTTCATGAGATTCAACGTGCTCAGGAGATCAACCAGATCTTTGGACCCAAAGGCTCATCTGAAGCCTATGACTTTATGTTAGACCTACACAACACCACAGCCAACATGGGATCCTGCCTCTTACTGAAGTCTGAATTTAGCCTGTTGTCCATACACATGTGTAACTACATCCAGGTGAGGTCATGTTCCTGAAATTTCCTAAGAATCTAATTCTTCTTCTTTTTTCAAGAAAAGAATGCTGAGATTTCTAAAAACAAACAAACAAACCTCATCTTCTTTTTTCCCGCCTTTGCAGAAGCACTGTACAGTGAGACATTGTCCCATCTTAATCTGTCAACCACCTGGAGAGGAGGCTACTTTCATGATGTCAGTGGCTAAACACGGTCTAGGTAAGGAATAGTTCTCAGCCTAGTGACCGTTCCTGGAAGTGTCCTGGAAAGACATATACAGAATGTCTGCAAAAGATGCATATAGCTCATCAATTTCAGTTGCAACATCACAAAATATTCTACTAACTCTTTATGTAATGTCTAATCTTTTGATGCAGCCGATGTTTCAAGCCAACTTTCACCTACATCAAACCAACTCTTACCTACATTGGTCTTGTCTGATATTGTCTTCTGAATCCCATTTCTATTTTGACATCTTTGTATCAAGATATAATACAGTGACAATATAAAAGGGCTGTTTTTCTATGGTGGGAGATTTAAAAATATTATATTGAATTAAGCAAGATAAGATTGGAATGATGTATTCTCACATTATTTAGTTTTACACAACTAAAAACTCACATCTCTCCCACCTGTTTTCCAAACTCCTACTTTAGTCAAATCTTTTTTTCTTCTAGCACAACTTATTTGGGTTTCTCTTGAATGCATATGAAGTCAGTTGTTAATAAGATAGATGGGGTTCCCCCATTCATTACCCATACAGTATAATTATATTATGAAACAGGCTGAGAGATAATGGCCATTTCCACATTAGTAAATGTCTATGGAGATTCTCAATCATCCAGGCCACGGTTGTCCCAAAGGTGCTTTTTCAAAAGGCAGCTGGATTTTCCATAACCTACTGCTAGATAAAGTAGAAGAATGTGGGTTAGACAGCATCACCACCAGATGGATTGAAAACTGGCTGACCAACCGCTTTCAATGTGTAGTCCTCAATGGAACTGCATCTACATGGAGGGAAGTATGCAGTGGAGTACCCCAAGGCTCTGTTTTAGGCCCAGTACTCTTCAACATCTCCATCAATGATTTGGATAAGGGTGTTAGGTATGTAAGCTAACAGTTGGGTTAGCAATATATAAGCCATGATAGTAGTACTGTTTCTTT